TCCTGATGTACAATAGTTGCTTCATTAATATTATTGAGCTATGAAAGCATAACCTCTTTTTACCAATCAATCATTCCACCGACATCTCTCTCTCTTTTTCGTTGTTAAGGTCATATGAGTTAAAAAATTATTTCATCAATTAACTCAGTACGTTTATTGTGTGGTTCGATGAAAGCCCAGATATTTTTTAGGGAAGAATATATTAAGTACAATGTAAAAGACAGAAGTAACTCACTAATAATATAATGGTTTGAGGAATTGAAACAAATGCAATAAATGAGAATGATGAGGATAATGAGAACAAAACATATATTTATACATAAATATAAATGGTGTAAAATATTCCCTCTTCTTAGTACAGAAGGCAGCAGCCTTCTGTGGGAGAGGAAAAACCAGATCCGGCTGATAACGAAATTAGGAAAAGACGACGTAAATGGATAGGACATACATTACAGAAATCACCAAACTGCATCACAACGCAAGTCCTAACTTGGAATCCTGAAGGGGAAGCGAAAAAGTGGAAGGCCAAAGAACATATTAAGTCGGGAAATAGAAGCAGATATGAAAAGGATGAATGACAACTGGAAAGGATTGCTTAGGACAAGGTTGGATGGTGAGTGCTGGTGGGTGGCCTATGCTCCTCTACGAGGAATAACAGGCGTAACTAAGTATGTCAGTACTCATACATAAGAAAACATGACGAATAGATTTTAAAATGACTCTCAAAAAATCTCACTGCCAACATCACTTCAGTAGATGATGGTGAATATATAACATCCATGTATTTGTACGTGCCTAAGTGTGGAGAAATTTCAAAGCGTGAAAAACCATTGAATAAGAAGCGGGAGAGAAATGTTAATAAGAAATAGTGAGGAGAGGTCATCATCAGTAAAGTTCTTATTGATCAATTGTAATTGTTTTGATTTTTTTCAACAGAAAATTTTTTGTTCAATAGAACAAACAAGAACGATAACACACACTTTTCTTTCCCGTAATCACTTTTATCATTATTATTATTATTATTGCTATTTATATCATTATTACTCTGATACCCGTTGCCGGAAATAAAGAAAAAATTCTGAAGTGTTCTTTTACTTGTTCTTGAGGTATGCCAACCAACCAACCAAGTAGCAAATCACCTGAACAATAATTTAGTTAGGTTGGTAGGTGAGTAGAAAGTTGGATAAATTTTTAAGTTTGAATGAAAATACAAACACACACACACACACACTAGAAAAACATATCTCAAGATGCTGGTACTTCATTTAGACATGCTCCCTATTTAATATTAGCCCTTATCCATCAAAATGATAATAATAATTTATTTTATTACATTTAATAACTTCCTCATTTTAGTCTGCATACCGGAACCATGATGGCTAATTTGTGTCTTAATGAGTAGGTCTGAAAATACTTCTATATATATATATATATATATATATATATATATATATATATATATATATATATATATATATATATATATATCCCTCAGTCTTATCTCTAAGATACTTGTCTACACTGCACACAATAATGATCTTCAGTCATTTACGTAAATAATTAATATCTAATCACTTGTTGTTTAATGATCATTCTACTTGATAGGTCAGGCTACAACTTATAATATTTAGAAAAAAGAGGAAGTCGGTAAGTTCTATTGTGTGTGTGTGTGTGGGGGGAGGCTGTATGTACTGGTGAATCAGATAAGCATTAAAATTTATTATTTTTTTTTTAAAAAAAAGAAGAAAGAATTTTGAATGAAATGGGTTTTACTGAGGAGAAAAAGAAACAAGACAAACAAAATAAAAATTTTCATTACAATATAGGATGACAGACATTTCAGGTCATGTATCCCATTGAAGTTGAAGTTGAAGTTTACTCTTTGACATTTTCAAGTAGAAGAATGAAGATAAATGAATAGATTGATCACATTGGTTTTTTCTTTTTGAGTTGACTGTCATTATCCAGTAATGAATGTAATCTCATTGAGATATACACATATCTTTATGAAGCTATTGAATAATGAATAACATGTGAATAATTTACATAGTACATTGGAAGATACGAATCAGCAAAGAGAAAAGAAAAAAAAAAACGGAAAACAATAACACCTGAGTATATTATTGACCTAACTCAGTTCTATCAACAATTTATTCATTGGGTGAATTCTAAACTCTACTTAACGTTGTACAAAACATCAAAGGGTGTTCTATCGATAGTATTCCTTTTACATCTTATTATCAAATTTAAACAGAAAATCAGTGTAATCTCATATTATCCTTTTATAAACCAGGAAATAGATGATCACTTTTTTTATTTCTTTTTCTTTTTTTCTGTTTTTGCAAAGAAACGCGTGAGTGTTTTTTTCTTTCTTCCCAAAATTCTTTAAAACTATATATATATATATATCATTGTTACTATTATTGACACGACCTAAAAAAGTAATATTTTCCTACATCTATCTCTATGTGAAAATAGTTAATCTTTTAATCTGAAAAAGAAAATCAGCAATCTTTTACCTTCCTACTATCATAGTGATTATGTTTTAGTTTTTTTTTAAAGAAATAAATAAATAAATAGAAAGGTTTAAATTAGGTGTGAAGAGAATTGGGCGGTTAAAACAAAGTATAGTGTAATAATTATAGTCGGAATATTATATATGACCAGTGACCTATTTATAAAATTTATTCTTATTATTAATATAAACTTGATTAGTACACGTTTTGATAACAGTGTTTATACTTACCTATATGTCAATGACTGTCTTTTTTGTGGTGGTGGTGGTGGGGAAGAAATAAAAATAACATTTGGACATGGACTATTTCTGTAATGATTAATATCTTTTCGCTAATAATTGACTAGATCCAGTATGAGAATACGGACAAAGATTGAAGTATGTGATGTTGAAAATAATTTGGCACACCTTGACAATATTAATAATCTATCACTGTTCAACTGCACATAGTAGGAATTCATCTAAAAGCAAACTTCTAATAAAAAGTATTGGTTTTTTTGTTCCCTGAAACACTACTTACTTACTGACATCTGTTACTCCCGATGGAGTATAGGCTGCCGACCAGAATTCTCCAACCCACTCTCGATCGGGCCCTCCTTTATAGTTCTATCCGATTGTTGTTCATTCTTCTCATGTCTGTCTCCAATTCTTGGCCTAATGTGTTCTTTGGTCTTCCGCTTCTTCTTTATTTCGCCTTGAGGATTCCGTGTGAGGGCTTGCATTGTGACACACAGTTAGGTGCTTTCCTCAATGCGTGTCCTACCCACTTCTAATGCTTCTTCCTGATTTCTTCCTCCGTTGACATCTGGTTTGTTCTCTCCCACAATAGGTTGTTGCTGATAATGTCTGACCAACGGATCCGAAGTATTTTGTATGGGCAACTGTTAATAGATACTTGTATCTTCTGGATGATGACTTTCGTAGTTCTCCAAGTTTCCACCCCATACGGTAGGACTGTTTTGACATTTGTATTGAAAATCCCGACTTTGGTGTTGGTTGACAGACAGTTGTTTTGAGTTCCATATATTCTTCAGCTGTAAATATGCTACTCTTGCTTTGCCGATCTGCACCTTCACATCTGCATCAGATCCACTGTGTTCATTCATGATGATGCACAGATATGTAGAGGATCTTACGTTTCCAAATCTTCTCCGTCAAGTGTGATTCGATTGGTGCATGCTGTGTTGTATCAGAGAATCTTGCTGTTTACTTTGTGTATGTTGAGACCTACTGCTTCTGAGGCTGCTGCTGCTACACTGGTCATCTTCTCCTGCATTTGTTGTTGCATGTGCGATAGAAGAGTCAGATCATCTGCGAAGTCTGGATCGTCCAGCTTCATCCTAGATATCTACTGTATCCCATGCATTCTTTCAGATGTTGACGTCTTCATGATCCAATCGATCACCAGGGAAAAGAGAAAAGTAATTCTCTGAAACATGATGAATACAAAATGAATGAAATACTATACTCAATATGGTAAATATAACATCATGGTTACTTAATTAAGTCTTACAAGATAAAATAATACTGTCGAATATAGATGTTTTAGTTTTTTTTTCTTCTTAAAAAGTGATACAATATTGTAAATCTATCAACCAGAAAATATACTGTAGTAACTTGTGTACGCTTAACGATAACACGAAGGGAAAGTATACATATCGTTATGAGAGAGTGATCAACGTAGTTGTGAGAAAGATCACAGTGCTAGATATGTAAATCAATGTTACAATGTTCCATATTCATTGGTGAATAACTCTGAAAAGTAACATTAAACACACTGTTGGGTTTTATACATTTCAATGTTGATAAAATCGGTTTCTATTTAACTATATTCTCATTGTTTTATTAGGATTTAAATAAGTATTGACATAACTAATTGAATAATGTTTCCCAGGTAATTTAAGTGTTTAAATTGGAATTTTTCTTATGAAGGTGGTCGTTACATTGTAATCTTACTAATACATGTTTAATATCAAATATAATTTCAATGGTTGAGATTATGAGATGTAGTGACCAGTGGAGTTCTACCGAGTCTGTTGTGAGATCATAAGTCACTGAAGATAATGATGGATGTGTCGCTGAATTTCGTGGATTGGTTGAAGTTAGACCTCAGTGGTCTAGAGATTAAGCGCTCGCGCGCGAGGCCAACAGGCCCTGGGTTCGAATCTCGTGAGGCGGGATTAAGAATGCACAGTGCTGAAAAGTCCCACAATAGGACGAAACGGACGTCCAGTACTTTCAGGTTTTCCATGCTGATCTAGATTCAATTGACTCTTAGTCTCAACCATTGATAATACATGTTTAAATGAATATCGTATTTGAGTATTATACACAAAATATTCAATCAGAATTTATTCTATTTTATTCATACACTTTTTGTTTCTTTTATATAACATTTGTAGAATAACAATTGGTGTTTTTTTATTTAATTACAATTTGACTTACACAAACATTTCTCAAAGAAAAAAAAGAAAAAGAAATACTCATGGTTACAGAGGAAATTAATGAAAATTCAATTGCAGAACGTTTACATCAACCTGTACCTTTAGATTTATCTTATCATTCATCAATTTCAAATGAATCAAATATTTCTAATCAATTATCAATTTCAACAATAACAACACCATTTATTAATAAATATGATAAATCTACTAATATACAATTAAGTAGTTTACAACATACATGTATTAGTATACCAATTAAAACATCACAATTAAATGATAAATTCAATAATCAATTATATTTTCCACAATCATCTATTATAGAACAAGTGAATACATCATATAGATCTAATTTAGAAAAATTACAAATGTTTTATACATTGAAAAGAAGTCAATTAAAATCTATGAATGATTTATATCATTCACCATTAATAACTATACCACCACCTGAACAATTATTAGCATTAACAATGTTACATAATCATAAATCTATTAAATTCACTCCAATAATCAACACGAGTAATAATAATAATATTTCATTGTTACCAAGACAATTAAATCAAACTATTAAAAACGACTTAGTTACTAATTTATCTTCAACTATTCCATCATTATATGATAATCAATTTATCGATTTAAACAATAATAATAATAATCAATATTGTAATTCAATTCCATTTGAATTAATATCGATTTATTTAAAAATGTTAGAAAAATCAAAAAATTTTAATGAAATTTACAAAAATGATGGTAGTAACTATTCCTATGAAACTATTTATAAATGGTTATTATCATTACGTAAGAATATTTATACAACAATCGATAAAGATTTAAATAATCCGCCTTTGAATTATCCAATTAAAACAAAACTTTCACAAACAGTAGTTCATGTTGAAAGTGATAATAATAATAATAATAATAACGGTATTAAGAATATACCTAAGAAACATAAAACAATAACAAGTGTTTTAGATGTATTACCATCAGATAGTATAGAAGTAGTACAAGGATTATTATCAACATGTGTAAATCATTTTACACCTAAACGTGAACGTTATACATGCCATTTTTGTGGTAAACTATTTCCTAGATCAGCTAATCTTACTAGACATATACGTACACATACTGGTGAACAACCATATAAATGTATACATTGTCCAAGATCATTTAGTATTAGTTCTAATTTACAACGTCATATACGTAATATACATCAAAAAGAAAGACCATTTCACTGTAATGTTTGTTTAAAACGTTTTGGACAACGTGCCAATTTAGAGAGGCATGTTCGAAATCATTTAATCAGTAAATATCATCATCATCATCATCATCAACAACAACAGCATCAATACAAGCCATTATTATCACCTACATGGTCATCATCATAATCATCCTTCATCTTTTCAACAGTGAACACAAATTTTTCCCTAGAATAACGTGATATTATATCAAGTAATTCAAATAGAGTTTATCCTATTGCTGTCCATCAATAAGACAGACATTTCTCTCTATGTATTCTTATTTAAAGCCCTTAGTATTAGTGATTTTGTAACTTTCTTCTCAAATCAATCCTGATAAAGAATTTTGTTGATCTTGTGTTCATATATACACATACATATATGATATAGTTACTTGATTTGATGTAATTTATGTTTGTTTGTTTGTTGTTTACATTGATGACCATGATCTTATGATTGATTTGATCAATCAATTATGTATATCATGTCTTCTCTTCTTTTTTCCGTTGTTGTTGTTGAAAAGTAGTAATAATCGGATGATGTACTCGCTTCCTTTAGTTATCTTACATATAATACACCGTGTGTAGTGTATATCGTCTGTTATCTGTCATATTCATGAATCTATACATGCAAATATATACACATTTATATACAGTTTAATACATATACATATATATATAACAAGATAAGGAAAAGACTTCACATTGTTGATGATAAGTTGTTTTTCTCTTTTTAGATAATCCTGTAGTTATTAACAACCAACCAACCAATCAAATCAACAACAACAAACCAACGAACAATCAAACAAAAGTATCTCATATATTTATCACATCCTTAAATAATATGGATAAATAAATGACTACCGGAAAACAAAATTTCTTCTTTCTTTCTTTCGTTTGGCAACCATCATTTGCATAGCGTTCATTCTGTTGACATGATGATGATGATAATGATGGGGTAACTGTGTCTATGTGCGTATGTTTATATCCTCAGTAGGCGTTCATTAGCAATTGTGATTATCTGATTTCTCTTATATCCTTATGATTGTTGTTGTTGTTAAGTCTTGTTAGGTCTTTTAAGTTGAAAAAAATTTGCAAAAATTTAATTAAATTTTCAGAGAGGTTATCAATTCACATGTCAGTTGAATGGGTTTCCTGTTAAAGAAAAAAAAAAGATTCTAGAAAAATATAAATTATTTCAATGAAGGATGAATCAATTATTAGTGTATTGAATATATTAAAATATAGTTTCTTAGAAATAAGCGGCTTTAATGAAGTTACATTATTTGAACTGAATGGTTTAATTATGAAGATAATGGAAACTATTTGATGTAGTTTATAATGGAATATGAATGGTTTAGTTAAGTCCCAAATTGATTGAATTCAGGAATGATCTTAGTTAAACCTGAAGTTTGAGGATGAAATTCGGTGAAGTTTTACGAGTACCAATTCTATTGATTGACTTCATACTAAAACAAACAATAACTGTACAGTTTTGTGTAGTTCTCATTCGTCATTTGAATTATACAAGCTTATAGTGAAATCTCTCTTCACATTTTGAGAAAACTTGACTATATTTCTAGGAGGAGTTTGTAACATTACGAGACTTCAGTTTTTCAAACTTATTCAGAAATACTCGGTTAGTGGAAAATACTAAAGTTACATTTAGAGTAGAACAGTGTTCTATTGACTGAAGAAATTATAATACATTAATTAAATGAATAATGATGAACAAAATATTTTTTATTTGAAAGGATGATTTATTCAATTTTAAAGAGAATTCACATTACGAATTGACTCTAGCTATAGAATCATTGAAAACTAGGGAACTTTGGGCAACCGTTCCACCCTACTTTGTGGCTTCTCAGTATAGCAAACACAAAACCAGACCTCTTTCCAAATGCATAACTTTCAGATCAAAGAAATGATTCGCATTTCTAACTATCGTAAATTAGGGGGACAGCACGACTCTTATCCGCTATCGTTTATATGATCTGGCTCGTAGTTGACAAGATTGAAATCCATTAGGACAATAAATATCTTTCATCTCTTTTAGTTGCTAACTAACGAAATTAAAGTACATGTTTATAAAATAGTTGACCTAGATTTCAATATTGATTTATGAACTTGTATTGTTTATAGTATAAAATGGTTTGAAATGTCTGGTACTATTGAAAAATTCATTTACCATGAGACCCAGTCAGATTCCCAAATAACATAAACATTGTCATAAAAATAGCCTCAGTTACTACTACGTTTTCCAGAATAAGTAACTATCAGTCAAAGTTGTGAAATAACTACAACAAATTTCATTTTAAATCAGTGACTTGAATACTTTATAACATCTATAAGATCTAAAACCCCTTATTTCTGTCTAATATGCTAATATGTGTGTGATATAAATACAGGACTCATACACCTGATGAGCAGTACTATAATTAAACTTTACCGAAATTAAACAGTTCAAGTAGCCCTCGATTAAAGAAAGTTTTAAGTGTTTCGAGGAAACGTACAGTTGTTGGAAAGTTCGGACAGAATCAGCATTCAATGCAGTTTTAAGATTATTACTTTAGATATTTTTAACTGCGTGCGTGCACTGGAATTCAAAGCTATAAACTCTCTTCCTAAATGACTGATTCCCAAGAACACCTACGAACATCAAAGTGTTTTTTCTTCAGTTCCACTGCCAATTGGATAGGCAAAGGAAGTGCCTTCTTTTGCCCCTCCGATTGTTGTGACCTGGTTCAGAAGTCTTTGGGATATAGTTAAAGTTCGACTGAAAACTATTTCCCGTTTGCTGTTACTGTTGTATTCAGTATTGAGGTGCCTCTAAAAAACATTTAACTTGACGCACATTATAAATCAATATGATGGATTATATCCTCTTGAATTAACATTGAATTACGAACTGCAAAGTAATTAATTGAATGGAACAATTTATATCACACAACCTACGAGAAAACATGTTCCGTTTATAGTTTTCAAAAGTCTTCGGAGTAACTTTAAGAGATAAATGGTTTAAATCTCATACCTTCGGACAGGTTTGGTACTAAGAATACTAACTAATGATGATTACTTCTTTAATAAATTTTGGATAAGATAATCAAATTGTTCGTATTCGGCTTTCTTATTCCTCAGCATGTTCAGTAGATGTTTTTATGTCAGGCAGTTTGAGACAATGGTCAGCAACCTATAAATCTCGGATACATGATAGTCAGTACCCGTCAGTGAAGTGTATTTGTAGCTTCTAGTTAACTAGTGCCTCCACAACACAACTTTTCTGTCCAGTATAAACAATCCCTGATCTAGGCAGTTAGATAGATTTTATCCGACTTATTTGTCTACTTGTGAGTAGCTTAATTGTTGCCGAATAAGTTTAAATTATAGACAACTTTTATTATTTAGTGTAGAAGTGAACGTCTACATAGGAAAGAGTAGCCTTAATCTTATTCTATAGATGGATGAGATATGAGCTTAAATTAACAAGTCCAGAATTTTCTCAGCTATATTGGCAAACAGTAAGTCACGTTTCGAGATGTCAAATTTAGAGGAAATCAGAAAATCGAGTCCTACATAACACATGTCCTTCCATTTTCAACACTTTCCTTTATTTCCTAACTATACCCCCACCATAGTTGGTTTACAGAGATTTTGCACGTAATTTTTCCTTTTAGTGGACGAGGTTTTGTCATATCAGACTTTCTTAATGAAAATGTCTCACGTATTGTTATGAACAACTTGAATGTCCTTACAGTTGTAATCAGTGGCTATACAATATTATGACTACAAAAAACATCCTACTTTTGATCTCATCTAAGATAATGTATGAACATCGCCGAAGAGTCCTAGAGTGAAATTAAACAGAAACCTAGTTTTCTCTCGTTTCCACTGGCCTCACAGTTCTTATCAGTTCCTGATGACAATAACGTTTTTGTCTTTCCTGTGATGTTAAACTGAAGTGTCTTGACTATCCACACCTGTCAAGAAAAAGTATACTTGGAATTCGGCCAGCGGTCGAACCCAGGATGTATTTTCCATCCTGCTTGGAATTATCAGCCGTATGTAACTGGCGATATTTAAACATAAGACAGTGAACGATCCTATACTCGATTTTCCTGTATTGAAAGATGAGTCTTGGCACCATCGTCTTAGCTTCTGCTCCCATAGAGGCGATAACACATTAAAACTGGCCAAAGGCATGCGACCAAGCATTTAGTATAGCACAGAGCACTTAAGAATGCCTCTACACGTTTCTTAGAACTCCCACCTCCTTATATAAATCTGTTGCCGTCTTGTTATTTGTCAATTATAGATTAGAACAATGTATAAACGAGCAGTATTTTTTTCAATCACTCGAATATACAGTACTATTTATATGCACATATGAAGTTATTAAACTGATTAAGGCAGTTTATAAGTTACTGATAACATTGGAATAGATTACATAAATAAACAGTAAGTAGATACCTCAAATTGATAGTGTGATGACATGTGTAATAGCAATGATAACAATAATAAAAGCTCAAATCAATGTTTCATAATAAGAAAGTAGGCCAACAACTTTAAAAAATAGGTATTAAAGTAACATTCATTAAAAATTATGAAATTACACAATTAGAAGTCTTCAGATAATAGGACAATGAAGCGTAAACTTGATGAAAAGGGTCGAGAAAAAAATCAATGAATAAATAGTATGGAAAATAATAAATAAATCAGGACTCAGTAGCTAAGTGGATAGCGCGATGGTATTTGAAATGAACGGTACTGAGTTTGAGCCCAAGAGTGAACATCTACTCCGAGGTGCAGGTACATTCAGCTGACGAGTTCCAAGTAAGACGAAACGCGTCCTGGATCCCACTATCCAACTTTGCATAATAAATAAATCGTTTGTTAAGGCTAAATCAGCTGAGGAAGAAATGAATGAGTGAAGAGTTTCTTATAAATACGCATTCAGTTTGTACCTTTTACTTACTGTTTATTAATGTAATCTATTCCACTGAGCTATAAACTGCCTTAATCGGTTTAATAATTTCATATCTACATGTAGATATTCATATATATTCGAGTAAAGCCAGATAAGGATCTAATCGAAAACAATATTGTTGACATTTCGAAGTTGTTTTAATTAATAAAATGATCATAATATGAAACTATGGATACATTATACAGAAGATTTCGTATCGATGTAGTTAAACCCCAATACAATCGTCTTTTGAAATGGTTGATTTAACGGAAAATGTGAATAAATTTAATGTATAATATACAGTTTTGTACATTATTTGACAGTCACAGAATAACTGTCGTTTGCCACAGCATGCTAATGAGCATCATAAACGCAGAGAATTTAGAAAAAATAAAACCAAGAATATACTATTCTCAGGAATTATGCAAACCTTAGATATTTTGCAAGAATCTCTCGTACAACTGATTTTCTAAAAAGTAATGATCCGTGTTCAACCGAAATCTCAGTCAATACAAACTTTTAGAAGTGTTTTATGCAAATGAAAAACAAATAAAATTCGATGATTTGGTTAAAGTTGATCTTGATAAAATTTGCGAAATAGTTGGTAAATAAATGTTACTCGTAGGCTATAATTCAGTATAAACATACTAATCAGGTACAGAAGTCTAACTCATATTAATGAGTAGGTAAATTCTGACAACAACAAGGGTTGTTTGAATATATATGATCATAAACAGCCTAGAGTATCACAAAGTCTATTATAATATAAAACAGTGAACACCATGTATACTTATGGTTTATTTAACTTCAACACGGTCTTCTATGTTTTACTATTCAGCCATGGTGAATGTAATAGGGCTGCTAAGTTTGTCTTACGTTGTTCT